TCTGTATTGGCAAAGTAGGATGGAATGAGCTAAGTAAGACCTTTTACCCTCTCTCCTAGAAACATAACTGTCTTAGCCCACTGGGCTGCTGTACCACAGAACGCAGGCTAGTTTGTGAAGAATAGACACTGTGTCTCAGAGTTCTGGAGTCCTGAAGTCAGAGATCAGCGCCAGCTTGATGATGTTCTGGTGAGGGGCATCTCCAGGGTTGCGGACTGCCTGCTTCTCCTTCCGTCCTCCCATGAGAGGGACCAGCACACTGCAAAGTCTCTCGTGTCTCTTAGAAAGGTCATTAGAAATCCCATAATGGGGCCACCCTCTGATACCAACTAAACCCAATGACCTTCCGGAGGCCCCACTTCTAAGCCATCGCATTGGGGACTTAGGCTTCTACATAGGAATGGGGGGCACAAACATTCAGTCCATGGCGAAAACTGTTCATTCTTCTGACTTTAATTTAGTTGTTTTCTTCATGTTGTGCTTTTTATTTTCCCAGATGATTCTGACCTCCACAGTCACCGCTCTGGACATCTGTGATATTACATAATAAGTTGATAGGAAATTGGGCTGAACTTTAAATGGCCGTCACATACTACCTAACCTGGAAGGTTTGGGGAGATTGCCGTGCTAATCCCCATCACCCAGTTGTTTTCTTAGGATTTACCTCTTTCCATCTAAAAAAAAAAAAAAAAAAAAAAAAAGCCAACTATGAATTAGATTAATGTAGGTCCTAGAGAGTACTCTGCTATTTCCTTTTTTTAAAACACCAGGCACACTCCTTATATCATCATCATCCTAAGTGCTATTTTTACCTACGTTGTCACAATCTGTGTGTCTGAGTTCAGTTTATATGGTAGCCCTTACATGGGCTTTCCCTCTATCTTTTATTTTTGTTTATTTATTTTTATCCTTACTCGAGGATATGTGTTTCATTGATTCTAGAGAGGGAGGGAAGGAGAGAAATAAACATCAGTGTATGAGAGAAATATCAATTGGTTGCCTTCCTTACACTCCCTAACTGGTATCAAACCTGCAACCTGGGTTTGTGCCCTGACCGGGAATCGAACACACAACCGTTAGGTGCTCAGGATAATGCTCTAACCAACTGAGCCACACCAGCCAGGGCCCTCTCTTTATTGTCTCAGATTTGTTGTAATAGGCTGCTTTCCAAAGTTATTTTTTTTTAATTAAAACATTTTTTTGAAATTACAGTTGACATACACAGTATATTAGCTTCATGCATATAACATAGTGACTAGACATTTGCATAACTTATGAAGTGATCACCCTGTTAAATCTGGTACCCATCTGACAGCATGCATAGTTATTATAACATCATTGACTATATTCTCTATACTGTACTTTACATCCCTGTGACTGTTTTTCATAACTGGCAATTTGTACACCTTAATCCTTTCCCCTTTTTCATTCATCCCCTCCACCCCAACATTTGTTTTTCAAGTCAGGTGTTTGGAACATATTTTCTTGTAGAAATAATAATTATATGGTAGTTAGACTAAGACTTTTCAAAGTAGATCGAAAAGATCCTTTAAAACCTTTCAGAGTTATGGAGCTGAGCACATTGGTGAGGCTAACGTTCTCATCAGCACCCCTCACCCCACCTCTCCCTTCACCTCAACCAGCATCAAACCTCTCTTTAAATGGAAAAAGGCAACCGGAAGGCAGCAATCCGATAGTGTGGGGAGCCATCTCTCCGCTGCGCCCTCTCTTTCCCGCTACTTTGATGGAGGTCATTATCTGACCGCCGAGAAGACACAGAGGCAGGAAGGGCTGTGGATTCAGATGAGTTGGCTAAATTTGTACACACTAAGTTTATCCATTGAAGGAGCTCCGTCTTTATTTTGGGAACATAATAAGAACCCTTGGTCTGAAGTTAATTAACCTGCAATGAGAAGGAGAGCTACTGAAGAGAAGTAAAGAACCTGGCCGTCCCAATGGCTGACGCTGATGGAGAAGGATAAAATGGGTAGCTTTGAAAGGGCCCTCAGAAATCATCTAGGCCAATCGTCTCATTTCATAGATGGCAACATTGAGGCCCCCAATTGACTTAATTTCAGAGCAATCTTTCAAATGAGTATGTTTGCAAATCAGCTGTATCCCTCGATGCTCCCAGAAAAAAGCAGGCAGAAGGGGCTTCAGGTTAGCCTGAGAATTTGATGTGGCGGTGGATGAGCGGATGCCTAGTGCATGGACACTGAGTACAAAAAGCAACGGGATATTCTTGGGAAGGGAATAGGGGAAAGCATTACAGATAGAGACCAGCGCAGTGAGAGCAAGCCCGGCTGCTGTCGTGATTCAAGCATGAATTTCTGACTTAGCCTGTAGACTTTGCATATACTCGCCCAGATTTGAGGGTTGTTGGGCATCCGGACAATGTCAGAAGCACAATGTCAGAAATCTCCTTCTACTTGAATTGGCAGAACTGGTGTCTGTTCAGCTCTAAATGCATAGGTTGTGAAAATAAATGAGCATGAAGTAGAAGGGCAAGTTTGATAAAGAATCTAATGGGCCGTTCATCGTATCATAAATAATACCATTCCCTCTAACTTCTCTGCCCCTTGATGTCCATCAGAACTCCCAGCAATGCTGAAAAGTTGAGATTTTTTTAAAGCTGAAGAAACAAGTGCTCTTTGGGGGCTAAACAATACGGACTCCCTACAGCGCTGCCAGTCCGTGCAATGAAACACCCACGTCTAGGCTGCTGAGCGGGAGCCTCCTGTGTGGCCCACGTCATGCAAATGAGTTAGGAGAGCACATTGGTAAAGCGATCCCACGTTTCACCCCCAGGAAGCCTGTTTGCTGAAGCAGGCAGGAAATGGAGAGCCTGTGCCCACAGAGGCCGAGGTTCATGTTCATTTTCAACCCGTTTGTCCTGCTCTCTTTCTCGTCTCTGTGTCCTCATACTCTCAGACTCATGAAGCTGCCCCTTACTCTTCGACTCCCAAGAATTTTTGGCAAAGGAGGTAGGCTCCCAAACCACATCATCGTTTACCCCAAATCCTACTTTCTCCTTAAGAGCCTCTGTCCCTTTAGCTCTAAAATGAAATGGTGGGGTTAGATGATTTGTCTCGCTGCTTCTAGCTCTAAAAATCGGCGGCTGAGCCAGCCCAGGCTAAAGACAGCTGCTGTCTTGAGACTGACGCTGATGGGGAAGGATAAAATGGGTAGCTTTGAAAGGGCCCTCAGAAATCATCTAGGCCAACCGTCTCGTTTCATAGATGGCGACATTGAGGCCCTCAGCAGGTGAGTACCTGCTAGAGCCACACGCCTAGTAAGTTAGCCATAGGCAAAGACAGCTTTGGGTGTTCAGAGTTACTGGTTAGCACTGTGCAAGAGGACTCACTCCAAAATGAAACATAATTGGACATAAGTTTCCCTACTACAAAACGATGCCTTACTTGAGTTTTTTCTTAAATACTCGCTATCATGCTTTTAGTCAAACACAGAAAAAGGGTCCTTCACAGGCAAATGCCTTAGAATGTGGTTTCTTTAAAAAATGGCTGTGAATCATACTTCAAAGCGTGGCCAAAAATGTAGTCCGCACAGAATCTCACTAGGTTGCATAGGCGTTCTATGAGGCTTTCCAGGTCTTTTCTCATTGCTTCCGGTAGGAACTATTTAACATTCTGAGGAGCATGCATGCATTAGCCTATTCCCAGCTTCACAGCACAAAATGCATCCCATTTAACTTTGACATCCCACCACCCTTTACCCTCCTCATGCAAAGAAAAGAATCCTGAAGCTGTATTTTCCGTTGACTCTGTGACCCAGGCTCATTTACCTGCTGGATAAAGTCTGCGTTGGTCACTTTAAAATATTATGTTTTGTACATGATGTTGGTCTCACTTTATTGCATATGCAGGGATCTTTGATCAGTAGGAGCTTGGCTCTGTGACCTCCTAAGGAAATGTGAAATCTGCCCCTGTGGCATTTTTGCAGCTGTGCAATTACAGATAATTTGTTGGCTCGGTGATGGAGAAGGTGAATTGGGTTTGGTTACAGGGACAGAATAGGGGCAGGCACACAGCCTTTCTCTCTTTTTAAGGAAATTTCCTGTTAAAATTATTTAATATCTCAAATACATAGACAAGTACAAAAAAATGAGGCAGCACATTCCCTCTTTTTGTCCTTGTGAAGTCTACTGATCATTGCATTATTCTAACCCTCTCAATAACCTTTTTATTCATATCCTTTTCGCCCTCTACCAAATACGTAATTTATTTGTTTCATTTACTATCCTGACACCATTACAATGTAAGTTCACAAAGGCAGACATTTCTGACTTCTGGGCTCCCGGCTACTTCCTTGTTGACCAGTGCCCGGTGTTGTTTTCAGTATTTTCATATTTCTCAATATTGATTGGTTAAATGAATTTTCCCAGTTTGCTTCTTTTTATGAAGTAGAATAGTTTGGGGTTCCCTCCACAACCGCATACTTTCCTTCAAATCGAAGTTCCCTTCTTTTCTACTTCCCCGGAGGTAACCAGTGCTGTGTGAATTCGGTGTTTATAATTTTGTGCTTATTTTTATGTCTTGGGACATATTTGTGTGCACCCATTGACAAATACGGGTGTTTGAGGTATTTATATATGTGGTTGATGTAATCTTTAATGTTGAACTACATGCAGGACTGGGGGGGAGGCAGCATGGGGATACAAGCATTCAGGTAAGTCCTGGTATGACTAGTAAGCAGAACTCCCCCCGAACTCTCTTAAAGGGAGATTTTTCCATGTGCCTTGAATAAATGCTGAAACAAGTGATGTACCAGACAGCAATTAAGCTTGAACATCAAAGAATGAACCTGTCTTGGTTTTCTCAAGAGTGTAAGAACTAGATGCATTTAAAGTGTCTGTGCTAGAAAATTGGCCATTTCTTTGCAATTTCTCCAAGTAAAGGGATCATAATGGTCCAATCAAGAAATCTATCCAAGTTTTTAAGTGGCCTGCTATTCTCAGTAAAACTTCTTTTTCCTTCCTCTAGTTGAGACGAGAGAAGATTGACCTTGAAAATACTTTGGAGCAAGAGCAAGAAGCACTAGTTAATCGTCTCTGGAAAAGAATGGATAAACTTGAAGCTGAAAAGCGGTTTGTTTAGTCTTACTGTTCCATATGGGATTGTGTTTGTGAGTAGGGAGGTGTTCTGGGTGTGACTGGAGAATAACAATGGGACCCTTAATTCCATGGTTGATGCATGTCATTTAATTTGTCAAATGAAAAACGCTTTGAAAGCTTTCTGACCTCTTTTCGTGCTGGTCACCTCTTCACACTTCTCTTGCCCTGGCCCAGCAGAATTTCTTTCCACTTGGTATCAGAGGCCATGAAGAAATTATTCCAGGTGCTATTGTTCACCTTTAAATTGTTCTGACGGATGGCTATAGTTTCAGCTTTTTTATTTGATTGAACTGGCTTCCCCAGTTCTTTTCTAAACTGCATAGCATGTATACTACGTGCCTGTAGTTATTATATATTTATAAAATGTACTTCGTTAGGAAGACTGAGATTTTGATAGAAAAATTAACATTTAATGTTTTGCTGCAAAGAAATGCTCGTACATATTTAAGGTTAGCATCCTTTGCGTTAAATGTATATACATGGATGTGAAATGTCATTCAATGGCAAACATTTCTTTTTTTTTTTTTAAACATACTTTATTGATTTTTTACAGAAAGGAAGGGAGAGGGATAGAGAGTTAGAAACATTGATGAGAGAGAAACATTGATCAGCTGCCTCTTGCACATTCCCTACTGGAATGTGCCTGCAATCATGGTACATGCCCTTGATCAAAATCGAACCTGTGACCCTTCTCTCCACAGGCCAATGCTCTATCCACTGAGCCACACCGGTTAGGGCAGGCAAACATTTCTTGAACCCCTCTGTGCAAGGTACTGTCAGGCCCTTATTTCTAAGTGCTGCAGACTTTGGGTGGCTGGAGCCGGGCTTGAAGAATGGCGAGGAGTTCTGTATGCAGGATGGCTGTAGAACAGGAATTTCTTGAAAATGTTCATTAATCCACTTCACGAGGACCTTTTTGTTTGCTTACCAGAGTCCTCTTGCCATAAATATTGGGTTTGGATGAATCCATAAATCATTCTGAGTTCATCTCAAGATTTGCAAAATAGAAGCATCTCACGGCTTTAAGAAAAGTGCAAGTAGAGGCACTGTATATCTACAGGGAAATATTCAAGATGTGGCTGTATTTTGCATTATTGTAGCAGTACTAATAGATGGAATTAGGAAAAATGACTTAACATAATAAATGTTGTTTTTAGAGCTCTTGAGCAAACTCAAAGGTAAAAGTTAAAAACGAAACAAAACCAAAACCCCCCAGCAATCCATAAAATGGGACATGGAAGTCTATTGCCATTCAGTCTTCCTTTGCAGAACTCAATCAGTACCAAATTATTGCAGATTATTGGGTTGAACAATATGACATTGACATTTTATAAGTCAAAAGCTGTTGAATATAACAAATAAGCATTTTATGTGGTTAACGATAATTAGTGGGGAAGGTGGAACTACCAATTATTAATCTAATTTGTTTTGTTTTGCTTTTAACTTTCTGCCTTAGCTGTTGCCAGAAGCAAAGGGCCTCTCATCAGTTTGTCATGCCTTCAGCTTGGTTTTTCAGCAGGGAATTTTATATGAGTCTCCATTCTATGCCACCACCCACAGAGACTGATAGTGCACAGTTCATAAACTTCAGCTGAAAGCACGGAGAGAGTGAAATTCCTTTGGTATCTCCATGTCCTCAGCCAGCATGTCAAACATTTAGGGAGTAGATAACTCTGGAGCCTTCTCCAGGCCAGACATACTACTTAGAAGCACATGTTAGAGATTTTTTTTAAGGAATGCTTAATTACCAGTAGCAACTTGAAGGAAAGGGAGGGTGGGTCCTTCATTCAGCTCTGCCCTTTGACCCAAATACCAGGTCAGGGTGACCAGAAGTTCATGTGAAATGGGCAGAGGAGATTCAAGCCATCCTGTGAATTGGTTCTGCAGTACATTCGTTACAGGAGCTTGCTATTGAAACAAGCCCTCTGAGTATGATGTTGTTTTATCTTTCAAAGGCAAACAAACAGTTTCTCATTGTTGGAATTTTTCTTTTCCAAAAAGGATCCTGCAGGAGAAATTAGACCAGCCGGTCTCAGCTCCCCCATCACCCAGAGACATCTCCATGGAGATCGACTCTCCAGAAAACATGATGCGCCACATCCGGTTTTTAAAGAATGAAGTGGAGAGGCTGAAGAAGCAGCTGAGGGCCGCTCAGTTACAGCGTACGTAGCCTCTGGTTTCCCTGTTTTCTGTCTGCAGAATTAATCTTCTTACCAAGTGCCAAGGGTGTTACCGACATTTATGGTTTGATTTGTGTTAATCAAATTCGTATTGTATTTCCATTACCAGTACATGTTTATCCTGTCATCTTGGAATATGTTATTTTTAAAATTAATTATAGTAGGGCCAGGCAGCTAGTTTAGAATACTTCTAAAAAATAATTCAAGTAATTTCAGGAGGGTCCAGAATCACAGGTAATATTTTTAACATTCTCCCCTGCGTCCATCTCTAGGATGGTGCTAACAAAATATTGCAGGAGACCTCAATATATGTGGGGGTTTTTAATGCAGAGATTACAGTGTTTATCTTCCTTACGGCTAAATTTTAGCCATAGATAACATTTGTTCATGGCACTTGAATAAGGGCTTTTGAAATTTATATTTGTTATTTTGGAAAAGGTGGGAGTGTTGAGTTGGAAGTCAAAGGAACTAGATTTCTGAGTACTTGATGAGATCATTGTGCATTTGTGTGGGTCTCTCCTATTTCTGCTTTTGGGTTGCTCCAATTTATTTGTTCAAATAGGCAATGTAGTGAAAAGTATGCAGGGGAAAATAAGTCTCTTTCTCATTTCAGATCCGCAATCACCCAATTCTGACAATTATCTATTTAAAAAAAATTTTTAAAGATGTTTTTATTGATTTCAGAGAGAGGGAGATAAAAATCAATAATGAGAGAAAATCATCAATTGGCTGCCTCCTGCACACCTACTACTAGGAATTGAGCCTGCAACCCAAGCATATGGCCTGTCCGGGAATAAAATCATGACCTCCTAGTTCATGGGTTGATGCTCAGCCACTGAGCCACACTGACTGGGTGCAATTATCTATTTTTTTATGCATTTTTTCCAGATATATATGTTTGTATAAACTTTTAAAATACAAATAGTAATACAATGAATATACTCTTTGCATCTTTTTGTTTTCACTTTCTATATCTTGTAGCTTTTCTCTTGCCAACCTATAGAGCTGTCTTACTCCCTTTTTTAAAGGACAGCTTCAGTATTTGATTATTTGGTTACACCACAGTTTATTTATACATTTGATTACTGTTCAAGAACACCTCCAGGGTAAATTTTAGTGATTTTTAGTTTGGTTTTATTTTCTAAAATCCATTATAAGCTTTTATTCAGTCTGGGATGGTGCATCAAGAACCTTTAAAAAACACAATGTGCTAGTTTCCTATTGCTGCTGAACAAAAGACCACACGCTTAGTAGCTTAGAAAGGCACAGTTTATTATACAGGAGTGGGCAAAAGTAGGTTTGCACTTGTGAGTACACAAAAGTTTATTCTTGTATTATTTATTAGTCATTGCATCATTTTCCATACATCAGTATTTTTTTAACCATAAACTTGATAGTGAAAGCAAACTGTGTAGGTCACCTTTGGATTATGTGGAAACCACCTCTTTGGACTCTGACTGGAAGTCACTCTCAGTTGACTGTCTTGGACTCGATATTGCGAGGTGGCTGAAGATAGGGGAGCATAAACTGTGGCTCATAAGGGAGAACATAAGCTGTGGCTCTTATGTCTCAGGGAGCTCTGCGTGAGGGAAGGTAAGAGCTGACTTCTGGAAGTAAGTCAAGTCTCTTGAAATCAGGTGTGGGGGTGTGCCAGCAGAGGGCGCCCACGGAGTGACATCTCTCTGTGCCTGGGTCAGTAACACCCAGAAGTTTTGGACCTGATTGATGTCTTCTCTATGCTTCTGACTTCTCTGGTTATTTTTTGTTTGTTTGTTTTAATCGTTTACTGATTTTTAGCAAGGGAGAGGGAGAGAGAGACATCAATGTGAGGTTGTGACATCAGATGGCTGCCTCTTGCACGCCCAGTACCCAGAGATCAAGCCCACAACCCAGGCATGTGCCCTGACTGAGAATCAAACCTGCAACCTTTTGGCGCATTGGGCAATACCCACCCAACTGAGCCACACCGGCCAATGCTGGGCCTCTCTGTTAATTGCTGAATAGCCAGGAAGTCTTCCAGCCATCCCTCCTGCGGACTTTCTTGTCTGTAGATGATTGTTTAAGGATTCCCCCTGCTGATTTCCCCAGATGTGAAAGGATTGCCGGTTCCTTTGAAAAACTATTTCCCCTGCACTGATTATTCTTGAAGTCTCATGAACCCTCAGTTCTGCAGAGCTTTCTTTCCTATTTATGGAAAAGAAAGGCAACTTGCTCTGACAGCGCCCTTCTGGCTCTGGAAACAATAAGTACTCCGAGGGGCCAATCTGATGCTTCCTGGAGCGCTGGTGAGAAGTGCTGCACACGGGCATATTTGGGAAGAAGTAATTTAAATCGTTTATATTAAAAGTGTGCTTTGTAAATATTTTCCCAGCATGCCTTCAATTAAAGGGACTTTTGCCACTGGATGAAGCAGCAGGGTTTTGATTATATGGAGAACAACGGGGGGGATTTAGTGTTCAGTGTACATAACAGTGTTTATTAATTCTGGTGTTTTTATTTAAATTTCTAAAATAAGGATATCCAGTCGTTTTTATGTGTTCTGAAATGATGACGCCTTAGAAATCTTTGGATATTTATCCTCAAAAGTCATTATTTGCTTAAAGGACCAGACCTTCACAGAGTTGCTTAAAACTGAAACTAATTCGATGGACTTGGGAGTTGAAATAGGGTCTGCAGAGAAATGGCCAATGTAGCATTCAGCTCCTTCCTTCTAAAATTTGGAATGGCCTAAAAACATGGAGAACTCTCTCAGGCGCGATCATGACTGGGTAGCTATTTTTCAGAAAATAGCTTTTTTTTTTTTTTTTTTTTTTTTGAGGTTTTACTTTTTCCAAACTCATGGCTAAGATAGGGAAAAGGAAGAAGCAGGAAGATGGGTAGACGCTGAGTTTTGTGTAAAGTTATTTTGGTTCCTTAGTAACAATAGATTCTGTCTGAGGTAAACCAGAAAAAGAGCAGGGAGGTCATGTGATGGCATTTATTGGAATGTGCCAGAATGCTGCCCAGAATAACCTCTCAACGTGGGGCTTGCGAACCAGGGACTCAGCAGAAGGAGATTCTAGAGCCGCGTGAAGGTGTCCGTTCTGCATTTCAGATATCTGAGAGAGAGAGAATCCGACCAGGTCCAGTTTCTGCCCTCAGGCTACACAGCTCTGGCTGGGAGATGGATGCTAGAGTGGAGACCTCTACAGATAGGGGTGGGCAGCAGCAGCAGTAGATTTACAGCTGTAATAGGAATAAATAATACAATAATTACTAACTGCTAACACAAGAATTAACTGTTTCACATGCCCACCACTGTGAACCTACGTTTGCCCACCCCTGTCTGGCCAGCTCCTCAAGAAGGGGTATTTGTCATAACCAAGGTGCCATCCCAAGAGCCTGGCTGCGTGCAGGTCTTTGCCTGCTCTCTGACTCGGAAAGGCTGTGAGTGAGTCACACACACACACACACACACACTCAAAAGTAATCTTATTTGACACATGCGAGTTGTTTGCTATGTCAACCTCTAGTTTTTAAAAAGGAATTATAACCGATACCGAGCGTGCTGTAGCTCCCTGGCCCCCAGGGCACCATGGGTGCGCTGCCAGTGTGATGGCTCTGTAGGTGACTGGCCGCGCTGTGTCTGGAGTTGAGGGGCACAGAAATGGTGCCCAGAGGGCAGCCCGTGGGCTGGCTCTGTTTCCCTGATGGAGTCCTCTACCCTCGGAGCTCCAGCAATGCAGGAAGCTCTGGTAGCTGCTAAGTCCACCATTTCCTCCTCCACCTCAGGCCGCTTAGAGGGCAAGGAAGTGGGGGTGCCGATGCCTAAACTCCCAATGCCGCTGGTATTTTTTCCAAATGCAGATCATCGGTAAACTTGGGCACTCGGGATAAACGCTAAATCCAGATTTAAAGCATGGGAGAGTGAGAGCTCCTGGCTTGAGACAGTTCTTGTCTGGAGCCGAGGAGCCGGCTGGCCGGCGTCTTGGTGAAGGTTGTGTGTGTGCGCACTCACAGGCCACGTTTTCACGGGGAACTCTGGCTTTTCAGACTCGGAGAAGATGGCGCAGTACCTGGAGGAGGAGCGTCACATGAGGGAAGAGAACCTGCGGCTGCAGAGGAAGCTGCAGAGGGAGATGGAGAGGAGGGAAGCCCTCTGCCGGCAGCTCTCCGAGAGCGAGTCCAGCTTGGAAATGGATGATGAGAGGTGTGCACTGGTCTGAGGAGCCTGCTTCCTTGTTTGTTTGTTTGTTTGTTTGTTTGTTTGTTTTGGTTTATTTTAACAAAGGCTGCAAAAGGTCTCTCTTCACACCCTGTTAGGTGTGGAAGGGGATGGTGCTGACATTTACTGGGTGTGATGATGAACACTCCTGCATCAAATAGATGCTGAGAATGGGGGAAATGAAGAAGGGTGACCATTTCCCTTAATTCCAAACAGAGAGGTGGGGAAATGTCCTTCTTAGAATCGTTTGCTGGGGAGAGCAGTGGAGGCAGGGGGATGTGTAGAGAGGCTGAGTTAGCATGTGTTGGTGAATTGGTCCAGTCCTGGGTTATGCCTGTTTAAAGCCTGGGAGAGGCTGAAGTCGTAGATGCAGGTAAGCAAGCCCTGGTACAGCCCGAGCAAATGCGTACTCACAGCCAAGGAATCAGCAGAAGACAGGAGGTTGTTGAAAGCCAAAGGCCTCGCCTTAACATTCTTGGTAACTTTTGAGCCTTTCTGCAGCTACTTAAAAAAAAAAAAAGCGTTTTTCTGCTGAAGTGTATCATCAGGCCCCCCGATTGTCCCACTGAGAAATGGGCTGAAATAAGAGTCAATCTTTTGTTAACCAGAGAAAGTGGTATCAGCATTTCTCTCTCTTCGGGATTTTCCCTCTCCCCGCTCCTTCCTTCTCCCCCTTCCCACCGCCAACTCTGGGAGTAAGGTGATGGTGAAGATAAGCAACACATTCACCTTGAAAAAACCGCTTAGTCAGCAGAGAAACCCAGCAGTTGGGGAATTAGCCCGTCTCAGAACCAGATTGTTTCTGCAAGGATATTTCCTGTCCTGGATCAGGGGTGCCCTGGCCTTACATAGTCGGTATCACAGTGTGGGAGGGAGACGGAGCCTCCTTCGTGCCCCTCCCCAGGCTGAGGAGCCCGTGTCTGAGACCAGGGCCTGCTAGTGCTGGGGATGTCCGCACACACTGCTTGAGAGCAAGTGGGCAGTGTTTCCCCAGCAGTGCTCTGCTTTTGTTTCTGCTGCTTATTAGATCCAGGGCGCTAACAAGGCTTTGGGCCAATTTACTATGGACAGTGGTATTGTCATTTCAAGATAAGTTTGAGATTTTTCTGTAGCGAAGGTCTATAATTTCATAATTTTAAAAAAGTATTAAAACAGAGTAACAGGGCATCCTCATTAAAGAATCTATGTATATGCTACCTTGTTTGGTAGAATAAAGAGTATTCGGTCTCAAAAGTTTATATAAAACTATCCTTAACTATTCTTACCTCTGAATTTCATTGATTTCTTTCTGACCGTGTCCCGTTCTCTCTGAAATTCATATCCCCTGAAAACCATTTGGATTAAAAAGCACATCAGCCCTATTAACTACTTTACTAACTACTTGGGAGGCTCCACCGAGCAGATTGTCTGTTCGCACACACACGGGACCCTATGCTTGATCTTGAGCCAGCTGCGCTCTGGAATTTCCTCCAACTATGGTGACCCTGCTAAAGCTCTTTCAGGCTCCCGACAAACATTTTCCCCTCAGAACTCGTATCCACGCCAGGAGGGTTGCTCTATCTTTTGCACGTCAGATCATTTCAGGCGAGAACAGCTTCCTAATAAAGACATCATCTCCTCTCCTCCCAGGAATGAGGATAACACATTTGGGAGAAAAATAAGATAGACGCTTGAGGCATCTACAAGTGTGTTTATTCCTTAAAAACCAAGAGGCTGTCTTTGCTGCTGCTAACTGGATAGTAGCATACAGGAAGTCCAGCCCTGCCTCCGTGGGCCTGCTCTGGAGAAGCAGAGAAGAGTCGGTGGTGGGTGTCTAGGGGAGAGATGTATGTCAGATTCCGCAGCCTGGCTTTCTTCCTGTTGAGTAAGCCAGTGGAGTAGCGACAGCGCTAACGTTCTGCTCGTGAGCTGGTTATCAGGGCTGAGATCCTCCCCAGGACACAGATCTCAGCCCATTCCTTCCTGTGGCCGTGAGGCCTGTGGAAGATAACTTACGAGGACATCTCTCACACAGAAATTTATCCTCATCAGCACTCTATTACATTCTAACGTGTGACTTTGTTAAGGAAGGCTTGCCTTGTACGGGATCAACATTTGATTCACAGAAAGACGGATCTTTAAGCTCTAATTTGATCATATAGATCCCAGAGGGCTTGTTTGGGTTTGTTTCAAAGAGCAATTTAAATGTGGCCATTAACACACAGACGGCTCTGTAATTCTTGCGACAGTGGAGGTGGAGTCTGTATAGCTGTTGTGATGGAGAGAAGCCCGGCCTCTCTGTTGTGTGGTGCATCTGTCCCCAGGACCCCATGCTGAGCTAGGATCTCCAGATTCCCCAGCCCAAGTCCTGGGGAGAGGTTTGCTGGGCAGTGACCCCCTGCAAGAGCCCATGGTAATGGGTGTCTCCGAGCTACAGCATCACTCTCTACACGTTGGGATGGGAACCCCAAGCATTTTCTCATCAGAGCTCTCTTAAGAACTGTTGAAATGCAGGCGGTCCTGATCATCTCCCCCTTCCTCCTAGGTGTTTTAATGAGATGTCTGCACAAGGACTAAGACCTCGCACTGTGTCCAGCCCGATCCCTTACACTCCTTCTCCAAGCTCAAGCAGGCCCATCTCCCCGGGTGAGTACCTCTGCTCGCTGCTTCTGAGACTGATTTCTGGTATGTTACTGGGCTTCCCTAAATGTGTTTCCTTTTATCAGTAAAAGTCTTATAAACAGAGAGGGTGTGTTCATGTGTTTTTGAGAAACATAAAAACAAATCGCTATCAAGACTGAATCTTATCTTGTAATTTTTTTTTTAAATCCTCACCTGAGCATATGTTTTTCATTGATTTTCAGAGAGAGAGAGAGAGTGGAAAGGAGGGAGGAGGGGGAGGGGAAGAGAGAGTGACAGAGAAGCATCTATTGGTTACCTCCTGCATATACCCCTATGGGAGAGGCAGGCATGTGCCCTTGAACAGAAATGGAACCTGCAGCTCTTTGGTCTGCAGGCTGACATTCTAACCACTGAGAAAACCGGCCAACTGCCAGGGTTTAGCTTGTAATTTTTAAGTGTAAATGTTATAGTGGGAACTGGTGTTTCTCTCTTAATATAAAAGGAAATTAACTTCCCAAACTGTTTTTAAAACTGTCTTTGCGATTTTAAATGCTGATGCATGACTAACCGTGGGTTGATTTGTAAGATGCATCATAGCATATCTTTTTTTTTCTTTTCAATAAGTTTAATATTTATTTACTTACTAACATGGAAACTAATAAGATGGTGATGCTGCTTCAAAGAGCACTTTGAGGACCTGCGTATTTATTTTACATATATATAAATGGACGGTGAAAATAGCCACATTTTATGGCTTTTTCATTATGTTCTGCCTACATAATCTAATTTCTATTCGCCAAAGCGTTAACCTAGGCACCGTATTTCCCATGTTAAAATTGAGGATGCAGTGAATCGGAAGCTACTGGTCTCAGGGTGGGGGAGGCCATGTCTTGTTGCAAAGCCAGTGTTGTTCTTTTTTTCTTTTATCTTTTTTTTTTTTTAAATATATTTTTATTGATTTCAGAGAGAGGAGGGGAGGGGACTAAATAGATAGAAATATCAATGAGAGAGAAGCACCGATCAGCTGCTTCCTGCACACCTCCTACTGGGATCTGTGAGAGCTATTTTCAGTAGATTGTGAGTGGGACTCGGTCCTCGTACCAGGACATGTGAGAAGGAGCTGGCTTTGCTCCTCAGAAGCCTTTCCCTCAAAGGCATGCGTGTCTTCACCTGACTCCAGGACCAGCACAGCTTGGAGGGCAAGTAAACCGTCCAGCCAGGCAGAATAAGGAAGCAGCAGCGAGGAAGTGGCAGAGCCTGGGTGGGGTTGGCTGGCAAGCGGAGGGGAGGAAGGAATGAAAAGGTAGCAGCCAAAGATCGAGTCTTGTGACTGAAGTGAAGAGACTGGATTCCTTGTGCTTGCTGCTAAACAGATTTTAAACAGGTCGAGGGAAAGTGTGTGTGTGTGTGTGTGTGTGTGTGTGTGTGTGTGTGTGGTGGGGGTAGTAGAGAAGGAGTGACTGCTTGGAAGGGTTAATGGCAATAAAGGTTTTATGGTTTGGGAAAGTGAAAGAGCTCCGTGTGAGGGTGACATCTCATATTGTCTGTTCTTCGGGTTGGTAAAGGGGACGTGCTGCCGTAACACAGGTAGCCAGAGAGAAAGTGCGAGGTAGAAATGGCTTGGTTTTGTGAGTGTAGGATCCAGCCCAGCTCTAGGATACTGTGGTTGGTGTGTTTTTAAGAGGTGAAATCAAAGTCCCACAACCAAGCGTGGCTGTGGTGGTGCACCCGCAGATGTCCGGTGTGCTGTCTCTGGCGTCCAACTGCCTAAAGAGAGGCTGTTTGCAAACAAAGACAACTTGCTGTCTGGATCTGTGTCATGGTCATCACTCCTGTTCCTGCCACAAGGGTATTCCTGAAACTGTTTCTCCTGCTCTCCAGTGGCCTTGACTTCTCTCCCAAAGCTTCCCTTCTTCGCTGCTTCTCAATTTCCCCCAAAGAGCTCTTGGCTTTCATTACCACAATAAAGGTCTTTTTTGCTTTCTCAGTTATTGACCTAAAAGGAAGGCATGACTTAGGAGGAAGCAAGATGGAGAGCAGCTTTTACGATTGATGGGTAATGCCGATTCATATTACCTATAGTTTAATGTTCTTTGTGTTTCAGCCTAAAGACATCCTGAGAGGCATGTAATTTCCAGTTCATTAGGTATAATGTTGTGGCCATTGAAAATAAAAATAAAGTCAGACTTTTGTTGGCAGCATTAAACTTCTATTATAGCAAGTGTTTTGAAGAAAATATTCTTCCATTTTCATAAGTTTTACTTTCAGCAGACCGTGTCCCTGTAGTGTGGGCATTGCTTGTATAAATAAGCTATTCGGTTTCCCTTTAAACTACATAAAAAGTAACACCAGGATTTTTCTTTTTTCTTTTAGCCAGGCTAAGTGAGAACATTTATATCCTATTTTAAGTTCTATAATATCATCAAAATAGATTTTCTCTCCTATTTGGCAGCAAAATCACTCCTACTCTAGTCCATTGCAGTCCCTATATATAAGTGCATCAGCAAAACCCGAATTTTCATGTGTTCTTTTCACTTTCTCTTTTACATTTTATATTTATTTACTTTATCTTTATTGTTGAAAGTATTAGAGGTGTCCCCTCTTCCCTTCCCCCATTGACCCCATGCTCCTACCTCCTCCCCAGGCCTTCACCGCACTCCTGTGAAGTCTGTCTGTGGGTTATGCATACCTGCGTATGCAGTCTCTGGTTACTCTCTCCCCCAACCCCTCTTCCCTCACTTTGTTTTCTATTGGAAGACTTTGTGGCTCTCAGAGAACCACTTCCTTAGTGGAGTGATGCTGTTCCTGCAGTTTTCATTTCTACTTTAAGCACGTTGGTTCTTCTTCCTCCCTTACCATTTGACATTGGCAGTCTTGCATTTTCACCAACTTGTTGAGATACCTTGAATCCTGTTTCACAATTTGAAAGGTAAATTTCCTAGAACGTAGGAAAGATCTCCTTGTTCATTTATATGTGGATTATCTATGGGGAGAGTGTTTTTTGGCTCATCCATTATTTAAGAAAGAGACATTCCCAATTAGTGTATTTTCATGTGCCCTCATCAGGGTAAGGAATAATTAAGTTTCAAAAAGGGTGTTCACCACACCCACTGCCCAGCATGCACACCCACCGCCCAAATCATGGTTTCTGATTCCATTCTCCAGTGATTGCCAGGGTGTATGCTAAATGAGAACTAGTTTCAAGGGGTTACATACTGTATGATTTTATTTCTATAACATTCTCAATGTGACAGAATCACAGTACTGGAGAGTACATTGGTCCTTCACAGGCGTTAGGATTAAAGGAACTAGCACAAAGGAGTTTCCTGGTGAGTGGTGATGGAGCAGTTCTGTGACCTGGTTGCGGTGACAGTGACTCGAATCTGTACATGTGGAGAAACTACATTGAGCTTTACACACACACACACACACACACACACACACAATACAGTAAAACCAGGTGACATCCTGTGTCTTCGTCACCTGTATTGGAGCAATGCCAGTTTCCTGGTCTTGACAATGTGCTATGGTTATGTAAGATGTCATTCAGGGAAGCTGGGGGAAGGATTTGTGGGAACCCTGTAGTATTTTTACAGCTTCCTGTGAATTATAAACTATTTTAAAATAAGTTGCAATAAAAGCAAAATCGTTTAAGAAGAGGTTTAAACAGCGGAGAGCTACCTGCTTGGAGAGCTTTTGAGGTGGGCCTTCCTACGCTGGCACTCACTGAGCCTTTCTTTACGGGGTGCCGGGCACTCTCCGCGTTTTGTGATGTTAACTCATTTCATCTCCACAACAACCTTGAGAGGCCACTCCGATAATCTCATTTTACAGTTGAAGGAGTAAAAGTCCACAGTGGCTCAGTGCCGAGGGACAGAACCAGAGGCTGAGGTAACGTGGCAGTCGGCTGTGGGGTCTGGGCTCTTGGCCTCTTCCCGGAGGCTGAGTGAGGTCCTGATCGGCCCTGGTGGAGATTGAGCGGGGAAAGGAGTAAGTTACGAGAAGGTCCTGTATGAAAAGAAGCTATCCCAGGCAAAGGGCACAGTCTGAACTGAGATGTGGAGATCAGAATCAGGTGACAAATAAGGTCACTGTGGTTCTTCACACCTGCTGCCTGGGACCCTGGTCCCCATAGATTCTGATTCATTTGCTTTGGGTTGGTCGAGGGCTTTGATATCCACCGACCAGGAGCCTCAGGAGACAGTTTGGAGCCAAATGCATAAGCCAGAGAAGATAATTATAATAGCCAGAGGAGAGAAGTTTTTTAAATTTGGGTAAACAGTAGGAGTCTTTGGAGATTTTTGATTAGCAGTTTAACATAAAAATAATAAACCTTGTAATACTAGAATATAAGCTGGGTCTTATTCTTGTTGTTATGAATTGAACTCACTGAGCTTCTCTTATCTGAGGATAAGGATCCACTTTTATAGCCTTTCTCTTAGATTTCATTGCTTTCATAAGAAATAGGCTTAGGATTGTATATTCCCCAAAGCTGTTCAAAGAAAACATCTTCTCCCCGCTCCCTGCATACACATCACGGTAAATGGCCACTTCGCTCCCAACGCCTTGGACTTTACCCCCAGCCTCCATTTTGTAAACTTCATTCTTTTGCGTGTGGGTATCCAGTTTTTCAAACACCATGTGTTGAAGAGACTACCCTTTCCACATTGTGAATTCTCAGCACTCTTGTTGCAGGTCATTTGACCATGTGTGCATGGGATTATTTCCAGTTCTCTGTTCTGTTCCACGGCTTGACATGTTTTCATATCCGTTGTCACCCAGCAGGCCATTCCCTGAGCCCACTGTGCACCTCATCTATTTCCATTTTTGTGGGTGACGGAGAACTTCTGCATTTTGAAGCCTCCTAAGATGGTCAAGGACAACAGATAGTTTGAGTTTGAAATAATGCTTACAAGGTCTTGTTATATTTCAGGTCTGTCATATGCAAGCCACACGGTTGGTTTCACGCCACCAACCTCACTGACGAGAGCCGGCATGTCTTACTACAATTCCCCGGGTCTTCATGCGCAGCATATGGGAGCATCCCACGGCATCACAGTGAGTACCACGGGGTGGGAAGCACCCTTACCCCAGATGGTGGTCTCCCTGGTCCTCCTTAGGAGACCAGGATCGATGCCCTTAGACAGTCACCATTCTTCCTTTCTCCCTCCGTCAGTTCGCCTTAAACACTGTATAGAGACTTCCTAATAGTCTGATACCAAATTCTGGTGTTGACACTAAAACTTATCCCTGAAGGAAAATTTCAACTTTGCTTTCCTTCAAAAATCACCCTTGTGGAACTTACTTTGAACTCTGGCCAATGCCTTGATTGAACTCTGGCCAAGTCCTTGCCAAAATCAATTACTGTTAGTTGCCATAATGTCTAGGATATTTATTGTCTGCACCTTCACAGTTCACTGGCCCTCCATATGCTTTCTGAAATTAGCTTTGTTTCTAGTTTCACTCAGGATTTTTTTTCTCCTGAAATTAGAAGGAACTTCAAGTGCATCTGGTCAAACCTCACTCAGGGGATCTTTTTTTCCTTTAGAACTGATTATTTAGTTGGCTAACAGAGCAATTGGAAATGTAGCTCATCGGGGTTTGAGAACAAGACTGCATTGACGGTCAATTCCCAGTAAGGAAATCTTGAAACAAGAAACTATTTATTCTCCAAGAGCATTAAGGTTTTTCTGATGCTCTTTTGCAGTTTGAGGGCTCTGTGTAAAAGCAGAAACGTTTTTGGTTTAGCTTAAGCTCCTAGGATATGGAAAACTTTTGCTAGTGATAATGTAAAGGAGGTTGTGACAGCAGAGCCTTCATTTTAGGACTGATTCGTTGAAGGGGGGGCAAGTCCAATACTTCAGTCAATGCAAGTTCCATAGTGATTTTGCCTTTTCATAGGTGTTAGGCATACACCTGACTGTAAGCTTTCATTACTCATTGAGAAATCCATAGGGATAGACCAGGAAATCGCTAGTCAACATTTCACTGGCCTTAGCTCTGAGTCAGGCTGTGGAAAGAAATGAGCTGTCTGTCCCTACACTGACTTACTGCTTCTGTCCTTTCCACAGAGGCCTTCGCCACGGAGAAGCAACAGTCCTGACAAATTCAAACGGCCCACGCCGCCTCCGTCTCCCAACACACAGACCCCGGTCCAGCCGCCTCCGCCCCCGCCGCCACCCCCGATGCAGCCTGGGGTCCCCTCGGCAGCCACCACGCAGCCCGTCCCTTCGCAACATTCGGTGCACCCCTCCTCCCAGCCTTAATGCATGTGCTTAGTCTGAATCTCATGTTGGGACTCGTACCTACCGTGGAGCCGTCGACTCAATGCCAAAGGCTTCTTCCCCTGGCATATTTGGATCTGACTTATTTGCACTGAGGTTATCTAGGCTTCACCATTAATTGTGTTGTAAATGTTTGTCGGAAATGCAGCCAGTGTTGTGGGTTACAACACTAACCAGACGACTCTTTCCATCAGTGTTTTACTTGAATCGACACGTGCGTCCATTCCTCGGCTAGAACCTCTGCTTTGCGATGTTCGGTCACTCAGCAGCCGTGTGCCGTTTTTTTTTTTTTTTTTTTTTTTTTTTTTTTTTTTTTTTTTTTTTTTTTTTTTTGCTTGGCCCCAGAGCTTCATTTTCCTGGCTTTTAGGTTTATAAAATAAAAAAGGGTTACTTTTTTTTTTTTTTCTTCCTCCACCCCCCATGAATTTGCAGAAAAATTACTGAGCTGTTCTCACCAACCAACCACCCCCCCACCGCCATTAGAATGGTGTTTACCAAACACCAATAACTCAGCACTACAATTTGGAAATCTAGAATGGAAAGTTAGATGGTCAGTGCCCAAGACTGTCCATTGAGCTTTCTACAGATACCCTTTTTATAGATTGTTTTCAGTGTAGATCAGCATCCGCCTCGCTTGTAAAAAAAAAAAAGAAACAGCCAGAAGTAACGGGTCACGTGGCTGTCCCTTTACCGCCTACATGGGATGGGTAATTATTGTATATTAAAGTGTGATTCTTTCCTCCTTCTCAATGTTAATCTTCCCAAACTGGCCCCCTCTCACATGCGTCCATTAATGTTGTCCTCCCTCTGTGGGTGCCATGGCTGGCTAGAGCGTGCTGTGTGATTTCCTGCTGCAGAAGGCAATGCGGTTATAACAGACAACAGCTATTTCCCCCTTCCCATTCTTTCTTTGTGTTTCCCTGAAATAGAGTTTGAACAAATATTTTAAAGGTGCGAAATTATTAGAAGATAACTATTTGAAATGAATGTTATAGAAATATCTTTGGCATAATGGCCGCACAGTACTTTATTGCTTGGCAGACGAGAGGAGAGGTGTATAGGAAAGTAGCACATTAGCATTGGTGACTGCTTATTTTGCCCAGTATAAGAAGTGCAGTGTGTACAAAGAAGTATATTCTGAATACATTATCCCCATGCATTTAGCACAAATAAATCGTTGGGTTTCACTTCGAAGTGGAACACCGTGAGTCACTCTTTTCTTAAGACTGCAACATCTTTATTTTTTGCTTTTCAGCAGTTAACTGTTTTGTACTTTGGTAGTAAAGTGATTTTTACCACCTGTGTTTGCATATTTATATATGCTGTGGACGAAAATACCTTACCTAGAGAATGTATATTTTATGATGAGAATGTGTATCTGTTGGATATAATCAGAGGACTGAAAGTTAATTTATCAGTAATTTTTAAGAGTCCATGTTTTGTGACAGCCATCTCTTACTAATAGCTAGCTCTTTATGGAACACACTCCTAAAAATAAGGAACCATGACATTGTAGATATTTAATATTGTACAGTATAGAAACCTCCATTTTTGCCTTTGAATGCATATTTAAGAGTTACAGACAGAAAAAAAAAAAAAAAGTCTTGTTGGATAATAGTGTTTGACTAGCATTTTAAGAACTTGAGAGTAAAAACAATAGGATTTTTCACCTCTTCCTGCTTTCATTCCCCTCCCTCCTCACCCCCAAACTGAGAGCGTCACTCCTCGTTGTTTGGAAGAAATTGTCCGTCTATATAAATTTTATTTATAATGTGTGTGTAATATACATAATCACAGTACAGTTCTCAAACAGGGGGAGAAGTTTGGCATATTATTGCTGAGGCTTTAGATTTTTAATAGGATCAAACTGGGTTCGCTGAACCCTGAGGATGGCACCGTCCGCTCCCTGGCCCTCCTGGTACATGGCCATTCCGAGGTATTCGGAGAGGTGGCAAACAACGTTTGCCCTCATGGTACAGTTCTTGACTTTTCTTAGAGGAGAACCATGGCACATGTTTACAAGAACCTCCTGCAGGAGTAAAGTCTTCAGTGCTGTTGGATAGTGTCTTGCGCTCACACGAGGAAGCCCGTCGTGTGACCTTCCCTCTGCTTCCCGTCCATGTAGTTACCTCCCGAAAGCACAAAAGTCAAAACGTCGCCGGCTGGAGAACGACAAAGCACCTGGCGTGAGCCAACCACAGTTCCCGACCAATGCCTTGTAGAGACCAGGTTCTTGACCTTCAGGCTTCTGCCCACACGAAGTGCTGGGGCCCCCAGGCTAGTCATTTCATTTCAGAAAACCAGAACACAGCTCCTGCGGGCGGCACCTGTCACCGCCCATCGGACGTCCTCTCCCTGCGAACAATTCAGAATTGATAGAACAAACACTAACTGCTTCGGATGTGTGCTGTTTTGTGTCTTTTTAAAGTATTTTGTGAGCCCGGCTGGAACCTGCCGCACCTGGGCAACCCCTGCCAAGGCAGATTCAGACCCCGAGCCCCGAGAGGCGAGAGCTCCCTCCCCCGTGGGGAGCTGACTCCCCTCCTTTTTCTCCTCGGGCTCCCGTGGTCACTGCCATTCCCGTGGCCCACTCGCCCCGGAGAACTCGGGACTGCCTCCCGGGAGACCTTTGTAAAATCCGTAGCCATCCCGAAGGCCGGTGGGAACGATAGTAGCTTCATTTTTTTTTTTCTGTCTTGCGGACAGAGACCCTCGGCTACCACTGTGCTGCTACTAGGGTGAAGTACGTCATTGCCAGATGACCATGCCTTTTTTACGCGAAACCAAATTCGCTTCCTCTGGGCTCTGACCTGCTTTTCTCTCAAGAAAGAGCATGCTGGCATTTTAGGCAGCATTCTAGAAATTTGCAGATGGTGGAAGTATTTAAGATTTCACTGACCTGGCTCCTTTGTTGATTGAAAGGAGCTTTCAATGCTGAGCTCCTGATATACTGACCCACAACCATGGAATGAATGTGTGACCAGAATGTGGCTTTGTCACCAAGTGCTGCTGTCCCTTTGTAATTGGCTTGCGATTTGACCAGAAATAATTGATAATGTGAATGTTTGTTACCTGTTCAATTGTCAGAATACAGTATGTGTCACCCTATGTTAGGTCGACACGAACTTGTCCTGCATGAAGCCTTGCTTGTAGAGGGTACCCAGTAAGACAAGAAAAAAAAAAAAAAAAGCATAGTAACTTGTGCTTCGAGAGCTCAATATTTTTATCTTAATCAGTACAGAAGAAATTTCTCTGTGTAACTTGATCTTCTGTCGAGTACTTGTCTTTTAGGTAACCAACACTGACAACTTCGTTGTGATGATTACCAAAGAAATACATAGTAAGACAACCTTTTATTTCCAAATTACTGAAGAGCCAGCGATTGACGCTGCTACATGAGTTCCATGCGCAAGAGCCATTGTAAGAAATGAGGGGTTTTTAGGTTTTTGTCTTGTTTCTAGTTTTCTTTATTTCTCTTTAATTTTTTTTTTAAAATATAAAACATACACACACAGCTGTTGGCATAAAATTATGGGGAGCATTTTGCAGAATGCTCAGCAGTTGTGGTTACCTGCCAAGCCCTGGTTGCCTCTCGTCAGGCAAACGGAGGAGTCCTATGTTCATGGTGGTGTGGGTGCTGTGTGTGTGCACGTGTGCGTGTGTGCATTCATGCCTTAACTCGGGTTACTGCTCAACTTTAGTTCTTGAATTAAGTCTGCACCGTCATCTAGATTGTATTGTACATCTCGATCTGAACTTCATCCTGGCAAAAACAAAGTTTGCAGGCGCAGCAGTTCCAGAATGCATTCCTCCGGAAGCGTATTTGATCAGGCTGACCCTGAGGCTGCTTTGGACTTTATTTGGAACTGAGCATGGAAAGCAAAGCAGACTGTCAAACAGAAAGACATCAGCAAGGAAGAGAGGAGAGCCAAGTGCTAGCTTGTCTTTTGCCTCTGCACCTCCGTGCACACTGTGTGTTCATGACAGCTGGTCTACAACTTGACAAGATTGGAGTTCTGGTAATATGGCAATCTTTTGACATTCTCGGTCAGAGTGTAGAGAGATGTAAGACTTCCAATTAATGTCTTATTTACTTCTTTATGTTGATTAGTCTTTGATACATGTGCTGAATCAGAAACCTAAATAAAGATAATTTTTTAAAATGTACCTTGTGAGCCTTGTGCCTTATTTCTGTTCTTTGAGTGAAAAAATGAGCATTGTTTCCCTGTTGCTTCTGATAGATATCGAATTTAGATCCTAAATACCAAAGGCTGCCTTAGAAAGTAAACTTAATAAGAGAATACAAAAGGGGCTGGTATCGTTCTGTTTCTTTCCTTTAAAAAAAAAAAAAAAAATCTTTACCCCAGGACATGCTTAGAGAAAAGACATGTAAGAAAGAGAGAAACATCAATCAGTTGCCTTCCATATGCTCCCAACCAGGGACTGAACCCACAACCCAGGAGCACGGGACGGTGCTCAACCAACTGAGCCACTCTGGCCAAGCTTGTTCTGTTTTTTAATCGGGGTGCTGGTTACCTGGGAATATTAAGTTTTTGAAATTTCTTTGAGCTGTGTGCTTATGATTTGTGCATTGTTATTTATCTGTGTTATATTTCAATTTAAAACTACAAATGCAGGAAATTCTAAAAAATAAAATAAAGCTACTTTCAATTCCCCAAAATGTTACCTATAAACAAATACTTTTTTTTTTTTTCAGGCTTTGGACATTATATTTGTTATATTAGCTTCAGCTTTTCTTAAAATTTTAAATCCATCGGCATGGATTCCTCTTGGCTTTCAGTCAAGTCTAGGTTTGAGTACCAGTTCTTTCACAAGGCCTTACCCTCTCTGGAGCTCAGGTTCCTTACCGATGAACCAGGAGTGCTATATGTCTCGCTAAGATGAGAGAATTCAGGTGAAAACCTCTGGTACAGTTCCTCACACACAATAAGACACAAGTCCCTGCCACATCCATTCACGC